AGAAAATGAGGTATGATTTGCAGTTCATGTTAGGATACTGAGGCATGATTTGCAGGTCTTGTTAAGATATTCTTCGGCAAAATTGTATTTTTAGTCCTGCTGATTTAAAGTCGTAGCATTTTTAGTTCTAAGATTTCAACTTTTCCGTCCTTTAACAATTTAAGTCATATAATTTAAAATTTTGTTGCATTTTCAATCTCAAATGACTGAAAGTTCTAAGATTTCAACTTTTCCGTCCTTTAACAATTTAAGTCATATAATTTAAAATTTTGTTGCATTTTCAATCTCAAATGACTGAAATTGCGTTGAATTCTAAAATTATAGGACCAAATAGCAAAAAGTTTCATTCTTAAGACTAAAAACACTATTGTATCAAACCAGTTGGACTAAAATTGCAATTTTGCCATAATTCTGTTCAGCCATGCAATTTTTATATAATTAAAACAATTGGATCAAGATTTCATTGGACTTTTGAGAACACATTTAATTATTGTCCACAAAAGATAATTCATTATGAGATTGCAGCTGTTGCTATCATTGGTAGTTGTTCTCTTTGAATGAATTCAATATAAGTATGATGTAGATTCGGTAGTGTGTATATTTTTTACTATAAACTGAGGGCTCGTCTTTCCATGTATTGTGGTGGCCAGCGAAACGTGCATGTGAGCATTAGATCATTGTGCTTCCCCAGTTTCTTTTTTTTTTTTTAAAAAAAAAAAATGAATTTTCAAAATAAATTATAAAGTTATCTCTCTTTTTAAAGTTTTTTCTTTATGAAATCTTGAAACTTGAAATGGTTTGGGATAATGCCTTTTTAATTTCTGTTTTGTCGTATACGTATCGAATAATTGTCATTAATTAGATAAGCGTGTTTGTCTACTTTTTTGGTTGAGATATACTTAAATTCTGCATGCGAAAAACAAATTATGAAAATAAGCATATGATGATTTTAAAGTTATAGCATAGCCTACTTGGGAAATGCCCCGGTCCCGTGGAGGTACCATCCCGTCGAGTATTCAATCGTTGGATCATCTATATTATTTAATTACATTTGGATCCAACGATTAAAATACCCAAGAAGATGGTACCGTAACAAAATCGTAATATTTCTCAGTCTATAATACGTATATGTTTTTTTTTTTCTTAAATAAAAAGCCAACGAAGGCTAACGTCCAAGGAGTTGGTCAATCTATTGTCGGTCTTGGTAAAAATGTGACAGCATGTGGAGTCCTGCCTAAACTACTTTTATTACTTTTTAAGTTTTTTTTCACTTGATTATTTTTTTTTTAACTTCCTTTTTTATGTCTTTTTGATTTTTTTTGACTTTCCATTTTAGTTTTTCTACATCATTTATAATTTTTCAAATTAAATTGCTTTTCCCTTTCTTTATTACAATTTAGCTTGACATCAACAAATCTAAGGGTTTTTGAATAGTAGTTTCTTCGGTATTTTTTTTAGCATTAACTTGTTATTAATTTCAGTTATAAACTATTTAATAGTAATTATGCATAATTTATTTAATATATTATACATTATGAAGTATTCACATGTTTTAGGAAGAGACGAATATTAATATGTATCTTATATTTATGTTTTACTTTATCTTATATATGCGGCATATGTTGTAAGCACAATTATAATTTCTTCTTCCTTGTAGGAAGAGGAAATATGCAGCAAAGCTATCAGAAGATGGGCAACTGATCTTGGATGTGGTCGAGAAGATCAAAGGCTGATATGAGAAGCTCATTGAAGATCTCGACAAGATCTGGGATATTGTCGTTTATGGAAAGATGTGTGTTCTTCATGACTTAAGAAATTTGGATTCTATTAGAGTTACAAATTCGAAGAAAATAATGCAGTCTCATACAGGTGAATCACACTATAAGATGGTGTATCTAGGAGCACATTATTGAAGTTCCATCACAAAATCAACTGGTGACAATGCGAGTGTCGTGGCCTTTACTACTGCTCTTGATGATGTCCCGGGAGTGCACCTTGGGTTAGTGTCAGGGATTCAAGAGCTCATGGGTCGACAGTGGGTGGTGAAAGTACGACATGTATTCCGTGAGGCGAATTTTGCGGCCGACTTTATGGCCTCCTTCGCTGCGGAAGCCCTTTAAGATACCAGTTTTTTAATAACCCGCCGGCGGGGATCTGTCAATGGTTACTCCTGATCCGTCCGTGCTGTAACCCACTAGGCGTCTAGCCTCTTCCTTTGTACCAAAAAAAAAAAAAGTTCAATGGAATGTCCAATCCCTTAGCCCAAATAGGTAGCAGTTAGCACAACCAAATTCATTGTCCAAACCAAGATGTTCCAAACACAGAGCAAGAAACTGGATGAATGGTAGCACCAATAGAACAAAATTAAAAGCATAAAGAAAAAGCAGAACCATAGTTGAAAAATATAAGTATACAGAGCAAACTAAAATTCAATTGAATGTCCAACTCAATAACCACAAATAAGGAGCACAACCTAACTCATAGACCAATAGTCATCACACAAGTTGGTGCAGAAAAATCAATGAAGCATATTAGTAGCAAAGGAGAATGGAACGAAATGATTAAAGTTAAAAGGATAAAGAAACAATAAGTCACTATCAAGAAAATATTAATGCACAGAAAAAAAATCTATATACGAACACCAACCATTCCCCAATTAGCACAATAAAATTCAAAGACAGAAACCTTTTTAATCACAAGGTATGTCAAAAGAATTTGACGAACCATAATAAGAGCACGAGAGAGTAAAAAGAGGAAATTAGGATTTAAGGTTGCAGGAGATTAAGATTTAAGGTTGCAGGTTCTTCGAAATAGAATATTATAGTAGATAAAAAAAAATTTGAACTCTAATCAATTGCGCAACCTTATCACAAGTCACAACATACATCCAATTTAGGACCCAAACTGAATTAAATGCCATGTTAGCACCAGAACATTGGTTTTTGAACTAAAAAAATATACTCCCTCCTATTCATAATAAGTGTCGTTTTGAGAAGTTGCACAGTTATTAAGAATATTTTTTTGCCAATAATAACCCTCATTAATGAGGATAGAGATAAATGTTTTGAGAAAATATGAAGAATGAATATAAAAAGACGTAGTGTATTTATTAGATAGATGAGGATAATAATGAAAAAATATCAAAATATCCAAGACGACATTTATTTTGTTAATAGTTTATAATGATAAAAAGACGTAGTGTATTTATTAGCTAGATGAGGATAATAATGAAAAAATATGTACAAAATATCCAAGACGACATTTATTTTGTTAATAGTTTATAATGATAAAATGACATTTAAAAAGAATAGGAGGTAGTAATTAATTGTCCAACCTCTTAGCT